TTTGTCTGAATCGGGGGTTATCGTGGTTAACCCTGGGTTGGTGAGTATTGCAGTCCGTTCCATTTAGCAGTCCTGACGTCTTGATGCAACGTCTTTTCACCGCCTCTTCCAAATCTTCCTTTTCTTTGGTCATGGTCCTTGTCAAGTCTTTTGACGGGGGTTAGGACGAGGCGATTTATCGGGTAAGTGTATGTTACCCAGTTGTGGAAGTAAACTTATCTATTCGCACCCTTACCTGGTGTGGTAAGCGAAGGGGGAGGTTCCTTTAAGTTAGAGAGGGATGAAGTGACGGGAGGTTATGTGTAGGTTTCACAATCTCACTGCGCGTCCTAAGATTCCTGAATCCTATGTTCCTAAGTACCTAGAGTTCAAGCCTAGTGTCCTAAAGTCCGGTCTTAAGAGTCTTATCCTAGGGTCAAACTTAGGCTCTGATACCAACTGTAACACCCCAGATTTTCAAGACTTTTTAAAACTTATAATAAAGGTAGAATCTTCTTAAATCCCAAGATATAATACAAGCGTTCGGGGTGCTATGCCACACCTGGGCTAGAGAACCCAAGTGCACATGCTAACTAACTAATATCCTCGAAGTGTGATTACATAAACGTGGCACGCAGGCCGAAAGGGAGACTATCTACTTCTACACTCCAAGTTCTAGCGCGCTCCAGTGACTTAATCTTCTGCCTGAAAGCCAAATATATCTGTTCAGCGAGAGATGCTGGTAACCCACTCCAACGCATTGAAATACAATACATATAGAGATATATATAGATATACGAAAACCATTTTGAGCATGAGGATATATCCTACGAACTCTAGTTTTAAAACCGGGAATGACTCGACAGATAAGGCCAGACACAAGCAACAATTATAACAAGCATATGCAGTTCACAACAGATAAGGCAGATAAGGCAAAGCATAAACAATAATCACAACCCAACATAAACAATCCCCAACATAAATCCCATAGTCACATCCCCCCCAAGACACTTGTAATCACAACTCATCCATATCACAACACATCGCACACTTTGTTGGCGCCACAGGACCAATCGCACGCCCATACATGAGGGTCAGCGCATATAGCTCTGACACGGCCCCGCAGCACCCTGCCCCGTATCGCAACACGGAGGGGTCGATCGCAACCGACCGATGAACCGCAGCTCATCATAGTGTTTGATCGCAACCAAACAGTGGACCGCAGCCCAAGAGAATGTCATCTGACCGTAGCCAGGAAAAGGATGAACCGCAGCTCATATAGAAACGTTTGATCGCAACCAAACGGTGGACCGCAGCCCAAGAGTATCAATCTGACCGCAGCTCAGGATAACCTATCCGATCGCAACCGAATTGGGGTAACACACACACATAACACATAGCAAGCACATGCAACCCACATTACACATTGGGAAGGGTGATAAAACGTATAACAAAACCTATGCGTGATCCATCACACACTAGGAATAGTCCTAAGGGGTTCATGCTTCTTCCACCTAGGTCAACGGGATACCAATTCAACTAGCATGCAATATAATAGACTCATAAACCTACGAACGGTACCCAAAATATCAAACTAGACATCGGCACGATAAACGGAGTCCGTTGGGACACCACGGGGGTCGGGGGAACATCAAACGGTGAAGCTGGGATCCCAGGTAGGACGAATTTCCAGCAGGTAGCCGGTGGGTGGGGGGCCACCAGCCGGTTGCCCGCCGGAGTGTACTGTTCCGGGCAGCGGGTCGCCGGCGGGCGGCTGCCCGCCCGCCGGCTACCCGCTGCCGAGCGGTGTTTCTCGGCCGTGGGTAGGTGTCGGGTCCCCTACCCCCCACCTACCCCCCACTGACTCTTTTCACACAATAACGTCCCGGGAACCTTTGTGGAACCCGAACCCATGCTTAGACACTTTACAACGCAACTAATAATTAACATGTAGACAATTAACGGATCAAATACGAGAAACGTACGACACATAACCTATCATGCTTTTATAAACATAAACAACACCCGAACATGCGATTTCCCCTCCCGATAAATCAAGAATAATATCATACGATACAACCTAGGGTTCTAATCACTTTTATATCAACAAGAATACGATTCGTCTTCTAATTGCAAGATTCGGTAAGAATAACACATAAGCATCAAGAGCATCACACAATTATCAAGAACGACACATAATCATCAAGAACTCCATAATCATCAAGAATCCCCCAATATCAAGATTATCAAGATCCCTCATGGGATCATCACATCAAACATCGATAATAATCATCATATCTCGCCAATACACAATAATATGGGGGAAACCCTAAGGGGGAATCATAGCTATGAAAATAGGTTTTGTTGAGACATGGGTTACCTCTTAGCCTTAATTAATTCCTTGGCTATGAAGGATCTTTCTTTAAGCTTTCTTGATTTCTTGATTTCTCCTAAGGGGATTCTTGGAACTCTTTGGGTGGTGAGAGATTATTGTGGTGGGGATTCTAGGTGCATCCTAAGTTCCCTATTTATATATTTAAGACTCCTAGTTAGGGCCTGAATGGTATGCGTTTACTAATTCTATTCCTTATAGGGCTAGGGTTTGTTTTAGGGATAATGGTCCACGGTCCATAGTGGACCATATTAATTAAAGAGGATCCTAATCATAATCTGAATAGTAAAAGGCCTACTTCCATTATTCCTAACAGGCTTAAGACTCTTATTCGGGCAAGGGTCCACGGTTCATGGTGGACCTTACTAATTAATTAAAGGTGAACCTAACATAATTAGATCATATTTAATTATTATTAACGGGATTAATTAAATAATTAATCCGGGATTGACGGCCGTAACACGGGGTGTTACACATACCCCTTCACTCCATCAGCATACCCCAAGAAAACACATTTTCTTGATTTAGAATCAAGTTTTGATGTTTCTTGAGTGTTGTATATCACATAAGCCGGACTCCCAAATGTATGTAAGTGAGAATAATTGGATGGCTTACCAGTCCACATTTCCATTGGCGTTTTCATATCAATTGCGGTTGATGGAGACCGATTGATCACATAACAGGCGGTTTTGACTGTTTCAGCCCAAAATGAATTTGCCAAATTTGCAGTCCTCAACATTGCCCTTGTTCTTTCCAATAAGGTTCTGTTCATCCGCTCTGCCACTCCATTTTGTTGTGGAGTATATGCCACCGTGAACTGTTGTTTGATACCTTCTTGTAGACAGTATCTATCAAACTCATCACTAGTATATTCTCCTCCACTATCCGACCTCAAACACTTGATCCTTTTCTCGAATTCAAGTTCCACACGCGCTTTGAAGATTTTGAAAACTTCAAATACATCCGCCTTCCACTTGATTGGATACACCCAACATCTCCTGGAGTAGTCGTCTATGAAGGATACAAAATATTTTGCACCTCCTAGGGATATAACTGGTGCTTGCCAAACATCGGAGTGTATCAGCTCCAAGATAGCTTTGCTTCTTGCTTTAGAGCTCTCGAACTTCAATCTATGCTGCTTACTTGTAACACAATGCTCACAAAAAGGTAATGAAACCTTTTTTAAGCCTGGAAGAAGTTGTTTATCAACAAGAATCTTTAGACCTCGTTCCGACATGTGGCCAAGTTTTTGATGCCACACCATCGTTGATTCCTCTATAAGATTGTCTGATGCAACAGCTGCTTCTCCTTGTAGTTGTGTTTCTCCTTTAAGCATGTATAGATTGGCTACTATCTTTTCAGCTTTCATCACAACGAGCGCGCCCTTGGTTACTTTGATGATCCCATCTTGAATGTGAATCTTACATTCACGGCTATCTAATTGTCCTAAAGACAATAGATTTTTCTTCAGGCCTTTCACGTGTCGTACCTCCTGGATAGTGCGAACCGTACCATCAAACATTTTTAGTTTGATAGTACCAATGCTAGCAATCTCTAAGGAATGATCATCTCCCATGAAGACCCCGGATCCTCCAGAGACAGGTTCATATTCATGAAACCATTCTCTTCGTGAAGTCATATGCCATGTTGCTCCGGAGTCCATGAGCCAAATATCAGCTAGACTTTTTCTGCCTTCAACAATTGTTGTTGCTTCACTAAATAAAACTTCGCCTCCATCCGATGTACTCACAACATAACCCCGAGCATTTGATGTCTCAGGATTTTTGCCTTTGACTGCATCCTTCTTAAGCTGCCAACACTCAGTCTTGTAGTGCCCCCTTTTGCCACAGTGGAAACACTTGACATTCTTTTTACTCCTCGATTTTGATCTACCTCGATTGTGACTCCCACTGGAGCCATGCTCCATTGATCTTCCTCTTGTTACTGTCAACGCCTGAGTTTGATGTGAGGTTCCAACATTATCTTCTTTGTTTTTGGGCCGACTTTCTTCTTGAAGAACCGCAACTGCAATGTCATCGAAGACAAGTACCTCCTTGTTGTTGACTAGATTGATAATGAGTTGATCATATGAATGCGGTAGACTTTGGAGTAAAATTTCAGCACGTTCACTCACGTCTATTTTATAACTCAACGCCGAGAGTTGTGAAAATAGAGTGTTGAGAATGTTGATGTGCTCAGTTACCGTGGATGTCTCCATCATCCTGAGAGTGTACAACTTCCTCTTCAAGAAGATTTTGTTGTGCAGTGATTTGGCCTCATACAACTTTATGAGAGTATCCCATATCTCTTTCGCCGTACTCCTCTCTCCTACACTTTATAGGACTCCATCAGCAAGCGCTAAGTGAAGATCGGCAACAGTATCACTATCAATTTCTTTCCACTTAGCATCGTAAGTGAAGTCGGCTGGTCTTTCTTCAATTGCTTCTAAGCAGTTATTTTTCCTGAGAACTGCTTTCATTCTCATTTTCCACAATGAGAAATTGTTCCCATTGAACTTTTCAATCTCATACTTTGCTGCCATTGTGAGTGGTGTTCTTGATTCAAATCCTGAACAATATATCTAAATTGTATCTTATAATAGAACACTCCCGGTCTTGTGAACTGTACACCAGGAAAATACTTTTGGAGAAGAGAGGTGAGTCACAAATAGACTGCTTAAATACCAAGTCTTAACCAGAGCTTTTCCTAGACATGTACAATCACTTTACCAGAATGAGTTCTAACGTAAACGATATAATAAAGATATATCTATGAACCAACCTGGGGCTCTAATACCACTTGTTAGAATCGATACGGTTCACAACACCTAATTACAATGGCAACTTGGGCGGAAATATTGAGAATATTTCTAGTGTAAGATTTAGAATAAATCATACACACAATAAGGCAATATTGAAGAAGGATTTTTGTATTGGCAAAAGGATAAAAATAATAGGAGTTACAATATACTCTCTATTTCTCTCTACAAGCACTTTGCTATGCTAAACTATCTAAAGAGATACAAGATGGGATGAGATGGGATGATACAAAATGGCAAATCAACTCCCTATTTATAGTACAAGGATTAGGGGTTGTTTTGTAGATAGCTTAGAATCTAGGGACTATATTGCAAATGTCTATGTCAACAATTGTGGCTGCCCATCCAACTTCTTTCAACAATTTTGTCTACTGATTTGTTGACAACTTTGTTGAATTTGGGTTGCTGCTATCAATGCATAGTTACCATGCTACCATGCTCCCATGGTTTGACTTTAATTACTTATATATATATATATATATATATATATATATATATATATATATATAGGGAAGGGATCAGGTGCATTTGTTGCTTCCCGTGCGGTTGTGCGGTGGATTAATGTGCGTGAGGTTTATACTTAATGTGCGTGAGTGTTATGCTCAATATGCTTGAGATTTGTACTTAATGTGCGTCATGTTAATATGCGTGAGTTTTGTACTTAATGTGCCAGAGTATTGTGCTTAATATGCGTGAGATTTGTGCTTAATGTGCGCGAGTAATAAGAGAATTTTCAACAATCTGGAATTGAAGCAAACAACAGAAGTTCCAGATTCTCGCACTAAGATCGGTCTGCATAGACCATTGATAAGGATAGAATTTGTGTATTCACTTTGGGAAGCTTGTATTTCATTGTAAACATCAGTAAAGCAGAGCAACACACTATTTTATGTCGTTATTGAAACTTGAAGATTCAAATCTTTCATCTTGGATAAAACAAAAAGAGCATCAGCAACCATCTCAGATGTTGATAGACACATTTTACACTCATATTTTAGGTACATCTTTATAATTATTTTGCATTGATTATTTAATATTATCTAATAATTAGTTTTTTTTTATATATAATATAATATATAATATATAATATATATAATATATAGTATATATATATATTACGCACAAACTAAACATATATATATATAATATAATATATAATATATAGAATATACTATTAATATATAGTACGTACTAGTACATATATATATATATATATATATATATATATATATATATATATATATTATAAAGATATAAAAGGTCCACTTTATATATATAATATAATATATATATAACATTATGTACTAATATATCCTCCCCTCAATTTGTTTTGTACAGGTTGAGCAAAATTATAGCGGAAGTGGAAGATGTCTTCCGGACGTGAGGCAAGAAATTAGGAATTGGGTGGTGGAAATTCATTTGACCTATTTTTAGAATGCTATAAATAGCAGGAGTTTCCTATTGTAAAATGTTCATTCTTTCCCTCTCGATTATTCTTTAAAGTTGTTGTCAATGTCCATTCATGGCTAATTTCTTTAGCTTGGTTTAATGAATTGAAGCCCCGGAATTGATTATGCTGTAAGATTATTTATTTATTTTATTATATAATTTTTATGCATTTGGGTATTAAATATTCTTCTAAGTTATTTGATATAATTATTTGCTATATTAGATAATGTTGTGCTACAAATTATTCTAATATTCAGTAGCAACTGAGGTTAATTATTGACGGCTTAGTGATAATTGGACTCGGGAAGAATATTTTCCTAAATTAAATGCAACCGCTTGTGCTTATGTTATTTAGTTTGTCGGTTTTCCTAGTTCCTATTGCTGCTATTAAATTAAATCTATAGCGCTTGTCTTAGGTTATTTAGTAGTTAGGGGTAATTAAACCGCTTGTGCTTTATTTACCTACAACTAAGGGAAAACAGAAATGAAATAATTTCACGACAAATATTCAATTGCATATTAATTACTTTATTAATCAATAATCAGTGTTGAATTCCGGTGGTGGATCTTTACTAACCAAGGTTCCTTATTATAAGTATTTTCGATATAATATTTTCATTGCTTTATTCGTTAATTAAATTTCTTGTTTATTTAAATTCTCTTTTATTTTATCTTTATTCTCGATATATTCCAAACCCCCCTACCTTTAATTTGAGCACAAAAGTTAAACTAGTTACTCCTCGTGGGATCGATCCTTACTCCCGCTACTACGTTTGTAAGGTTTTAATTTGGGAGCCTACGACAGCTCACCAAATTTTGGCGCCGTTGCCGGGGAGATTTTCTAGCTTATTTTGTGTTTATTTAATTATTTATTTATTTTTCATTTGTCCCAAAAAAAAAAAAAGAATTTTAAAAAAAATCTTCTCTTTCGTTACTTTTGCATAAATGCTGCAATATATTTTCTTTTCTTTTTTTATGCCTATAACTCGATCTGCTAATAAAAAAATCTTGCCGTACTATCCGGAAATTGAAAGAACTATACGTAGGTGGAGGAAACAAGCTTTGAGCAAATTGGAGTTTAGTGATTATCTGGCTACCGATTCTACCAATTCTGATTTAGAAGGGGAACTCATTGCTCAAAATCGGACTTTAAAAGAGCTTGGAGCTTCAAATCTAGATCAACAACCATTATGCATCACCTTCCCTGCTCTGGATGCCAATGTGCAATTCGAACTAAAGTCTGGATTAATTCATCTTTTGCCTTCTTTTCGTGGACTTGCAGGTGAAGATCCTCACAAGCATTTAAAGGAATTCCATGTGGTGTGTTCGAGTATGAAACCCACTGGGGTTACTGAGGAACAAATCAAGTTGAGAGCCTTTCCCTTTTCGTTGAAAGATTCAGCGAAGGATTGGCTATACTATCTACCTTCTGGGAGCATCACCACATGGAATAACTTAAAGACACTATTCCTTGAAAAATATTTCCCAGTTTCAAGGGCGGCCAACATTAGAAAGGAAATTTGTGGTATAAGGCAAAACAATGGAGAGTCATTGTATGAATATTGGGAACGTTTCAAGAAACTATGTGCAAGCTGCCCACACCATCAAATCAGTGATCAATTACTCATTCAGTACTTTTATGAAGGACTCTTTCCAATGGATAGAAGCATGATTGATGCCGCAAGCGGTGGTGCTTTAGTTGACAAGACACCAGACGCTGCAAGAACTCTAATTGCAAACATGGCTGCAAATTCTCAACAGTTTGGCAATAGACTTGGCCAACCGTCGAAGCAAGTGAATGAGGTAAATATTTCTTCTCTCGAACAACAAATTTCTGGTTTAACTACTCTTGTTCGTCAATTAGCTGTCGGCAATATGCAAACTGTGAAAGCATGTGGAATTTGCTCGGTAGTTGGGCACCAAACTGATGCCTGCCCAACTCTTCAAGAAGAACCTACTGAACAAGTCAACATGGCTGGAGGTTTTCCTGGACAACCTCAAGGTAAGTATGATCCATTTTCTAATAAATATAATCCTGGATGGAGGGATCACCCGAACCTTAGCTATGGGAACTCACAAGGGAACCAGTTTGTTCAGAATCGTTCCAACTTTCAACAGTATAGGCAACAATTTCCTTCCAGCCAACAACCAGCCCAAAACTCTAGCTCAGGTATGAATCTAGAAGATATTGTTAAATCTTTTGCTACTAACACTTTGCAGTTTCAACAAGAAACACAACTATTCCAACAAGAGACAAGAGCTAGTATTCAAGAAACAAAGGTTAGTATTCAAAACTTAGAAAGGCAAGTGGGCCAACTAGCAACTACGGTAAGTCGGTTGGAAGCACAGAGCTCTGGCAAATTACCATCTCAAACGATCGTTAATCCTAAAGAGAATGTAAGTGCAATTACTGTGGGAAGTATGTCGCTGGAAAAGAATGTTGATTTAGACAAGGAAATAAGTGCAGGTAACATTGCCAATAAAGAGAAGTCCCAAGGTAACCTTTCTTCTTTTTCTGATTATGAACCAGTACCCCCTTTTCCTCAAGCTCTTTTGGAACCAATAAGAGGAAACTCAAATAATGATTTATATGAGACATTTCGTGAATGTGAGGCTAATAAGCCATTTTTAGATTCTATGAAAAAGGTACCTCGCTATGCAAATTTTCTAAAAGGGGTATGCACATTGAAAAAGAAACAAAATAAAGGAGTTGATGAAGTGAAAGTGCACGAGAATGTCTCTATGACTAGTCAAGGCAATCTTCCTGAAAAGTGCAAAGACCCAGGTATGTTTACTATTCCGTGCATGATAAGTGGTGTGAAACTTGAAAATGCTATGTTAGATTTAGGAGCTTCTATTAATGTGATGCCATATTCTGTTTATAAATCGTTAAATCTTGGACCCCTGAGTAAATCTACTATAGTAATTCAATTGGCTGATGGATCTACTACATATCCTAGGGGTGTGATTGAGGATTTGCTTGTTGAAGTTAATAACTTGGTTTTTCCTGCTGATTTTTATGTATTGGATATGGAAAATGATAATAAAATTTCTCATATTTTGTTAGGAAGACCATTCTTAAAAACTGCAAAAACTAAAATCGATATTCATAATGGTATGCTTACAATGGAGTCTAATGGTAAACTTGTGACTTTTAATATATATGATACCATGAGATCTCCTAGTAATGATAATTTCGCAATTTTTGTTGATTCTTTAAAACTTGTTAAATTTAATGCAATTGCTTCTATTGAAAATAAAGAAGAACCAAATAATAAATCATCTTTGAGTACTAATCTGCATGAAGGGACTGTTTCTTTGAATACTCATAATCATCGAAGGTACTCAAAAAGACGATGGAAATTTAAAGAAATATCATAAGTCGAGCCAACGGCGATAAACAAAGGCGCTGCTTGGGAGGCAACCTAAGGTGTGTTTGTTCCATTTTTTTTTCTT